AGCTCATGAAATAATGTATTTTACAATTTGTGAAATTATAATGAGTAGAAATGACTAAAAATGGTCAAAAGTCACGCCTTATAACTAATAAAATCATGAATTTTGCCCACCACTAAAATGATTTGCCAATCAATCGAAAAGACTAAAAAATGAAAAATCTTGTATATTGGTATGAAAACGAAAAATGAAATCGTGAATCTTTGTAAGAAAGTGAAAAGTTGGACGTCCCCAGCATTCTAATTAGTCGGGGTTGGACGTCCCCAGCGCGAGATGCGTGGTTAGGGTACTAAACAAGTTGGGGTTGCGAACCCCGACTAATTTTGTCGTCGCACAAAATGATCGGGGTTGGGAACCCCGACCATTTCGAACCCCAATTCGAAACGGTTGGGGTTCCCAATCCCGGCCATTTATCAGAGGAAGGCACCCGGCAAGGCACCCTAATTCAAAGTTGTCGGTACCATTCTAATTCGAATTGGGGTTCAAAATGGTCGGGGTTCCCAACCTCGACCATTTTGTGCGGCAACAAAGCTAGTCGGGGTTCGCAACCCCGACTTGTTTAATCCCCTAACCACGAATCTCGTTGGGGACATCCTATTAGGAAGTCGGTTTTTTTTTAAGTCGATCTAGTTTCTAGCCATGATGCCGACGTGGCTAGAAACTGTGTCGATTTTTAGAATTAAAATTGGAATGTGTCGGTTCTTTCTTTAAAAAAAAATATTTTGGGGCTATTTTGATAAATTATTCCACTTTCCTACCTTTTCAGCTGGAACAAATTTTCACTGTAGACCCAAACCAACTTTTAATTACCAAAATCGACCCATTTTTTTTAATTACCAAAATCAACCCACTTTATGCCACGTATGCTTAATCACATTTTCTAAGTAGTCGGGGTTGCCAACCCTGACTGTTTAGGACATTAAAAATTGGGTTTAAGGCTTCTAATTGGGGTTTAACAACTCCTAAACAGTCGGGGTTGGCAACCCTAACTAATTAGGAAATGTGATTAAGCTTACGTGGCATAAAATGGGTCGATTTTGATAATTAAAAAAAATAGGTCAATTTTGTTAATTAAAAGTTGGTTTGGGTCTACAGTGAAAATTTGTTCTTTTGAGCTGCATACCTATAAACTACAAATCACAGTAGGTTTAAATATTCCAGAGGGTAATTATCTCAAATAATTAGGTAGGAAACCTAAGTGCCGCCTGCTGCCGGTTCCTCCATCTGCCAGCGGTGGGTCCCACTTGAACTCTTGGAATTGACGAAAACTTCGCACGTGGCGCGATACCACTAGCTGGGTCAACCTCGCGCTGTACACTAACACGCATCTCAAGAGGAAAGACGGTCCTTTTCCGGTGGAAAAAACCAAAGCGAAGATTCTCCCTTCAAGGTTCTAATGGAGGAGCTCGTCGGCGTCTCCAGCCCCTCAAGAACCCTACCCTCCTCTTCTCCTACTTTCCCTCTCGCTCCCCAGAACCCCAAACCTTAGGCTCCCCTCCTCATCACTCCTTGTTAGGGCGAAATCGAAGCTCAACGGAGTCCAAAACCCTAAGGAATCCAACAACGCTACTCGAATTGTTGAGGAGGAGAAAGAGGTGGAGTAGGATTTTCCATGGATTCAGGAGAAAGTCCACGATATCGTCGAGTTCATCAGAACGGTCACTCAGGCCATCCCCGGGCCCAGAGTGGGCTAGAGCCCTCTGCCGTGGGTTCTAGGGATCCCGCTCGCTTACATGGGCCTCTCTTTCGTCGTTGCTGTTGTCAAGATTGTCAAGAAGTTGACCTCACCGAGGGCGAAGAAGAAGAGATTGGTAATTTTGATGGGAAGTGTGCGGCTCTTTGTATGTGGGTTTTCCCCCATGAATTGTTTGTTCAATGTGAGGATTGTTTTCGTGTGCAAGTGAATGAGAATGCGTTTCTATTGAGGGAGATTGATGACTTGGTCTGCGCATATGGGAATCAGTAGTAATTTGAGGTACCAAACGCTGAACGCGGTCGAGTTCTTGATGGCGAAGGCGATGCCGGTGGGGGTTTTCAAGGCGACGGTGGTGGTGCTGAGGTGTTTGAATAATGTGGCCGGAGGGATGAGCTTTGTCTTGCTCGGGAGGCTGATGGGGTCGCAGAAGGTGGTGGAGGAGGAGGAGGCTGTGAAGGTGGAGTGATGTTCCGAGGTGAGTTGATGCAATTTTAATAACGATATGGATATTAGGGGATTATGAATAATGATGTAGATGGGTAAGCCTTGAAGCATGAGGTTGCCTCCATGTGAACTGGAGGTCACGGGTCCGAGTCTTAGAATCAGTCGCTTCGTATGCAGGGGTAAGGTTGCGTACATTTGGCGCGCTTCTTATGCGGGATGTGAGGATAAGGCTACGTATATCTGACCCTCTCTCTAGATGCGCGGGAGCCTTGTGCACCGCCCTTTGTCATGTGAGGGACGTTATGTTTTTGTTGAGTTTTTAGAGGTTCGGAGTGATCTGTCATAGTTTACATAAGAGAAAAGGAGGGTTTTTTTTTGTAGAACTATGAATTTCTGATGTTCTACTTATGAATTTAGTTTCAACAAGGATGTTGCTTTCTAAAGTATCGGTTGTTCTTTGGATGTTGGTGGTTTTTTATGTGTAATTTGCAGCATGAGGTGAGTTGACTTGTTGTAAGTATATTTATGGCTGCTTGAGCGATGTTGGTTTTTGTTCTGATTTGTTTGGTTGAATAATAGTTTGGAAATTAGGGGAAATATGGCATGTTTGAATGAGAAGGGAGTATATTTTGGTGGAAGTTACTATGTTTTTAGTGGCTTATCAAAAAAAAAAAAATGTTGGATCTTGAAAGTGGCAAGTGTGCTTTTGATGTTCTCCTTGATGAGGTCGACCATGGTGCTGTTTGATTTGCTACCAAGCGGAGGAGTGGTAACTGTGGCATGTAGCAAAACTGGGAGATCTTCTACAGTTGCAAACGCGAGCACATATTAGTTGCAGTAAGAAGAACAGCTACAAATGTCTCTGGCGTGCAACTGCAATTATAATCCTGCAGATGCAACGAACAAAATACCCCCTTACTGTGAAGGGCTCTTGCGAAAAGCTGCAACCAGATCGAAACGAAGCATCTACACCCCCCTAAATATTTTCCATGGTACTTGTTTCATCGACATCCACAATGAAAACTTAACAACAAACCTGAAATTTAGAGATTACTTGATATTTCTATACAATCAAATACATCAGGGATCGCGAACTAATATACATATTATGAAATCATCCTCTCTTGGCCGAGTGAAAATACTGGCCAGGGTGACAACTGCTCTACAAGCCCTTGGTATTCACTTGCCCGCTCCAAACACTTTAGTCGGGTCAGAATGCTTGTGACGAGAAGCCATGGGGGATGACCCACTGCTAGGGTTCGGCTGCTGCTGGCGATGGAGCTTGCAGCGGAATGATCCTTGGTGGGTTGTTGGTGAGCAGAGGCAGGTCTTTGTCATTACAAAGTTAGCTAGGGATTCATTGGACCAGTTCCTCTTTAAACTTCCTTCATCTTCAAAATGTAGTTGGTTCTGACTGTCCGTTGCCATTCTGGATACTTGATAGTATATTATGATGAAATCTGAGACAAATTCTTCAATATCAATTATACGACATGGAAGAACCAGTTGTGACTGCAAAGATTTGTTATGAAAATTCTGGCAAATTCACAATCGTCAGCGTGACAACGATGAACACATTGAATTCTAGCCGATATTTTTCTGTAAATTATTTGATGATTTGTAACTAGCTAAAGAGATTCATAACTTGTTTCCTTCGTCTTGATGATGAAGTTTGCCTTGGTTGTCTATTGTCATTTTGGATACTTAAAATTCGATGCAATAGTGTACAATATGAGATCGAAAACATGATAATGATAAGAGGCAATTGCTTTGATATCAATCTATTTAAGAGAAATGCAAAATATTTATTGTGAAATTTGCGGGAAATTCACCAAGAGCAACATGACAATGATGAAAAAAATTGTGTCCTAAGAGAGAGAGAGAGAGAGAGAGAGAGAGATTAAAAGTATTTGATGATTCTTCATTGGCAAAATTAAAGAAAAATTCCATGTGAAGTGGGGTCATACCTGAAAAATGAACAATTTCTTGTACCTTTTCCTTCCCCTTTTTGTTATTCCTCTTAATCAAAGTTAAAAAGAATGGTGGACATGGACAGAGGAAGGAGGGCCTCCGAATAACAAAATAGCCAAAATTTGTGAGTGGAAGCCGGAGGTTCTCTATTAATAAAAATATTAAGGAATTCAAGGTTCTTTAGTAAAATGATATATTATATTTATAGAAACCAGCATTATTGCAAGTGAAATAGACATTAAAACTTATTTTCCTATTTTCTATATAAATAATGTCCTAAAGTTACATTTTTTTTAATAACCTCAATACCTTTTTTTCTAGTAAAAAAACGGTGGGCCAAAGCTCGATACCTTGAAGTTTAAATTTATCCCAACATAATGTAACATTCTTTATAAATTTGAGACTTGAGAATGAAGTTACTGGAGTATGAGAAATGATAAGTATTGTAGAGAATACTTATTTTATTAATCGATTACACTAGTATCAAGTCAAAGTGTTGTAGAGAATATTTTTCTCAATAATATTAAAAAAAATATAAAGAGTTGTGAAAATTTTCTTTCTACAATTTAATATAAAAAGATATGCTTCGAACTAATCACGTTATATTTATAACCATAAAATAATTACAAAAGAATTCTATGCTTTCGAATTTATTATATTATACTTTCTGATTTTATTTAAGAAATCTTATTTGATTTAAGAGAGCTCGTGGGACGTTTTTGTACTTTTTTTTTTTTTGCCCCCTAAGTTCAGAAGAATCAAGTTCTAGAATTTCTTTTTTCCTAGTGCTGGCAAAAAGAAACTAGGATAATAAACAGTCATTCCTCCAAATAATATTCAAATTAAAGTACAGAACAGCAGCATGTACGCAGCAGATATTGAATCAAACGACTTGCATGTATAACGAAAACAATTAATATAGAACATTTGAATTTTGCAGGCAATAATATCACAGATCCATACATGAGAATTTTGTATTGGCAAATCATAAACTAGGCTCCTAGCAGGAACAGGACAAACTATGTCAGATTTAAGAGCATCTTCATTCCTACAGAAAATGGTGGATGCGAGAACCCACAATGAATCATCTCCTTCAGATTCGCACGTCACTTGTGAATGGCTTCAAAAATTATCGTGTGAGGTACAAACAATACATAGTTTACAAAGTAAAACAAGAGAGATTAATGAAGACACATTTTTTATTGTACGTGAAATTTAAAAAAGGAACGCCTCAGAATGTGGCGAGAGTTACCACTGCTGTGAATTTCAAAAAAGTAAGCAGCTTTTATTTTCTCAGTCGTCATAATCTAGTTCGTCCTCATCATCATCTTCAGCATTCTCAACTCCTCCGAAAAGAGACAAGAACACTAGCACTGCAACCAACTGGGTGGCAAGAAAATAATTGGCCCTCCTCCGAAAAGTCTTCTCCTCTTCGGTTTTCTCCCTTTTAGCTTTTGGTTTGGACTTGGAACCTGTCAAAATACAGAAGAACCACTTCAGTTTTGAAATTGGTGTTAATTTTGCATGAGATGGCAAGTAAAACACACTATTCTGAACCTGTATATAGCACAAAGAAAACAACATTTGATGTCAAACAAAGAAGGCTATAAGAACACCTATGGTATACTAGGACAAAAAGGATTAGATCAAATAAAGGAAAAATAAATTGCGGGAGCAACTGAAAATTTGGTAAGAAGTAAATGGGAGACGCACAAATAGGTCAATTGAGTGAAACCTGACCAAGCCCAACCCAATGTTGATGGCTAGCTAATGTTCGTATATCAGGGTTTCTCTCAAAGCCAATCTGACGCTCTCACTCATTTACTTTGTGATGTAGTAAAGTGAGCAATGATCTTCCATTAAATAGTGATCAATCTTAAGAGAATGCCGCCACAGTGTTCAAAAAAATTGAATCAGGGTGAACGCTATTCCATAGTCCACACGTTAGAAAATTAGCAATCATCTAGCGGGGATTCTATAGTGTGAGCTTGGATAAACACATAAATTCAACAGTAAATTAAGTCACAGACTCACGGACAAGCATAATATTTAGTAGCCAATTTAGTCATTTCAGTGATAAATCATAGAATGAGGTTTCCTAGTTTTTATAATCAGAAACCCGTCAAACAGAGTTCTAAACAAGTCTGGTCGCTGTAGAAGCTGACAGACCCAACAAAGCAACATTTGTAGATTTGCCTAATGTTAGGACAAATCCTCCAGCACATTACTTGGCTGATCTTACAAATCAAAATAGAAACAGTAAATTATATAATTATAAACAAAATGAAGTAGATGACTTGGCTAAAATGGTCCATCAAGCAGACCATAATTGTAAATAGCATATGAATTAAATCTAGTAAACATAATCCATTCATTCAATCAATGATGTATTTACTGCAAAATTTTGTTGTCTTACTCCAATATGATGAGGATTTTGTTCTTGATGATGATGATGCTGATGGACCAAAGGAAGATCGCGGAATGGAGGACGATGAATTAGAGTCCACATACTGCACTTTAAGATTTTCAGAATATCTAACTAAATTGTCATATTGCAAGAGATTATTTCGCAGAGTAGAGGTATCCTGCAACATCAGCAAAATAAATAAAAGAATAGTGAGAAAAAAAAAGAAAATGTATAAGAACTCGTTGCCTGCTATACAAAGATAATTTCGAAATGAGCATATCCGTACTCCATAAAGAGAGGCAATTAAGACATGAAATACTCTGCAATCTTTATAAAATGATTCAAATTTAAAAAATAATGATAGGGAGAAAATTTAAAGACAAACGTCATATGATAAAGTTTAATATGCCAAATACTTTGCTATTTGAGCAAGAATTCATTAACAACAACAGCTCTACGGAGAATCACATCAGAATAATGTTAAGAAACAAGCAACAAATAGCAATAATGATCACAAGTTCTAGTATCAGAAACAAAAAAGGAATGTCTTGACTAGACTATTATATTGTTGTTGCAATAAAAGTATAGAACATACACCATTAGCCATTCCTATATGAATCCAGCTATCGTATCAAATGATAACATTCCTGGAGATGTCTTGTTTGGAGAACAATAGTATAGCTGTTAACGAACAAATAGTTTCCGCCCCAATGTTATGGACCATAAATACACAACTTACTGGCAAAGCATGAATCACAAAAAGAGCATGCCCGAGGAAAGCAGCATCCAAGCTTGTCGGCCTGTCATAAAAACAAATATAAATTAATTTAAAACACAAACTTGATAAGAACTGAAGCTAGAGTTCTCTAAAGTATAAGAATCAGATTTATATTACAATTTATTGGAACATGAAAAATCATCTTCTAGCATTCATATCAAATCAATCTATTTATGTCTTACCTGTCATCAAAGAAAAATGTTTGTTCTCCTAACCTCTGAGATAAAGCCTCATATGCAGCAGCTGCTTTACGATATATCTATAGATTGAATACAATTCAGTGATTTTAGAATAAAACGTTCTTATAACACAGAAATCATGAAGAGCTAAGATGAAAGAAAAAATGTAATCAGAATGAGGAGGCGAGTTGCTCCATAGAAAGAGGGTATCACTTTCAATCATGGTTAAACTAGAAGGCAGAAAGAAGTTAGCGGACATTCACTGAAGAACTTGTCAAAATAACTTATTCGCTTATAAGGTGGGGGTGGACAATAAGCATCACAAGAAAAGAAGAAGAAAAGTTTATAAGTGTGCTGAAATCCAGATAATACACTGCGCCATGCACCCCCCCCCGACCCCCCACCCCACCCAAAAAAAAACACTCACCACATGAGTTCTTTCATATCAGTCTCGCAAATCTTTTGCATTGAAGTTGGTCCCTCGCAAGGCCTTTCATATTTAAAAATTAACCCCCTAAAGCTTCATTAGTTGCAAAATAGTCCATCAAATCTTCATATCTCTCAATAGTAGTTTGTAGCTCCAATACAATCTTTTCCCTAACTAGATTCCAGTGAAGCTTTTATTCAAAGTTAAAGTCTGAATGGATGTTTACACTTCTGCAATTATTTTATAAATGTGATATTTAAAATTATTTCATTTCTTATTATGTTTGAAATAAGTTTATCAATATAATTTATAGTTTGTTATCAATCTATCAAGTCTTCAAAAAGATTATAATTTATAGTTTGTGTTTATGGAAAAATCATGTACAATTGTTACATTTCAAAAAGACTTCAGAAAATTGAAGTATGCTGATTCAATGATGAGTGCATATGTTGAAATGTTTCAAGTATTCACAAAACTGTTTTTTTTTTCTTTTGCAAAGTTTTTACTTTAGGTTCTTTTTTCACCTACTTACATATATGAAAGTTAATTATACATTCAAACATCTGATCGCTTTTGATCGATACAGTGTAAATAATGTTTTACATCGGCCCCAGGACAAAAAAATTTGGCTTCGCCACTGTCAGAACGTCTTTTCTTTTTACATATTAATGGTAATGAAGGAATTAAGGTTCTTTCTGTAGTCATTGTATATAATGTTTCTAATAAAATAATAAGATAGGAAAGGGACCTCTTCTTCTTTTCCATTGGCATTGAGATATGTTATTCCCAATCGCTGCTTAACTGTTTGAGTTTGTTTCCAATGGAGAACCTTCGCAACGGGCCATGACAGGTCAGAGAAATATATTTTATATGCACCACTTCCATTAGAAGCAACCCATAGTTCATATTGTGCAGCCTCTGCAAGCCAGGAGCTGATCAACGCCTCTGTCGCCAACCAATGAGGAACACAGCCACCTGAGAGTCCCGAGTCCAGATCAACTATGCTCTCTCCTTTCAAGCATTCAATAACACCTCCCTTCTCATTGCTGAATAACACACAATCACCATATTCGATATATGGTACATGATCTGCAAAATAAATGGAGGACAGTCTAGGAAGCAACAGAGAAAAAGAAAAACCGGTGAATTTAGCAACAAATTCATAAAGGTTGTACTCATTTGGGCTAAAGACAACCAGGCGCCCCTCTAACAAAGGACTCATGCCTTATCTCGGCCATTTAACATTTATTCACGGAATAGACACTCCCTTTTATGGGCAAGTCGGGACAATTTTCAACCGTCCCACATCACTAGAGGAGGTAACAACGTGAGCCCATTGGTCCAATGACCTATCTAGAATCCCTTTTCTTTTCCCAGACTGGCGAGTAACATAAAAAGTGAAGAAATGGAGAGAATCGCAGAAGCAGGGAAGCGGAAAAAACAATTTTCCCTACCTCCACTTTTGCCAAACTCATGTCTGAATGAGAGAAGTGGGGTATGTCGGGGTGCAAACTAATGGTTCATCCAATGTTTACATAACTGTATTGTATTCTTCCAAAATATAGGACTCTGAATGAAGATGACATGATGCTTCCATACATAAGTTTAATTTTCTAGAAATATAGTGACCTTAATAATCTCTCTTCCGGCTCGATACAAACCCTATTCAACCTTATCCATCAATGTGGGACTAACAATGTAGTTGTGTAGGATGGAAAGTTGTCAACTCGAAGGGGTTCATCATATCCAGTTTAAATCGACGCATCAGAGAACACTAACTTCCCTCTTCATTAGAAAACAAAAAATTGTAGATATGAGGCTGGGTGTTAGGGTTTACACCTCTGTGGGCACAACAAAATTAGGGGGAAATTATCCAACCAAAATTAAAATGAATAGAGAAAGAGGAGAGAGATACCAGAATCGGGGTTGGCGACATCGAAATCGAGACTGAACGAAGCGTTGGCGAATCTGAGGTAGAGATAGACTGGGAGGCAATTAGGGCAAGCTGTCGGCAGCCCGAAACCACCCTTTCGAGCTACGAGAACCAGCTCCCCTTCTCCTCTCTCGCTCATCTCCCTCCCTTTTTCTCTTTCCTCGATAGAGGAAGAAGAAATTAGGGTTAGGGTTTGGATTATGCTGATGATGAGAGAGAAAGATCGTCGCTTTTTTGTTGGAAGAAGAAGAAATGAAGTTTTTTCTTTTTCTTTTTTTTAAGGGTTTATGAGAAGAAGCAGAAGAAGGTGACGAAGGGTTTTGTTTCTTCGGGGCGGGTTGGAACTCAATTGGGCCGGGTTATGTAAAACCCGATTACCCGTTTGTTACCCGGTAGATTGCTGGTAACCAACCCCTCATCTATATCTTCGCTAGAGTTTGTCACCTCTTAACTATTTCATTAGCATTTAATGCTCGATGATCGATTTATTAGAATAATATATGATAATGGTCCTCTCTTTAGTGATGCATTCAGTCCGGATACGGCTCGGATATGATGTTTACCATATTCATATCCGCTTACCCATCTCAGATACGGATACGAATACAGATATACGTCGGTAAAAAAATTCATATCCATATCCGCCAAAATCGGATACGGTCACGGATATAGATGCGGATATATAAACGGATATGCATGCGGATACAAAAATGATATGAGAAAACTAGATAGTATTAAGAAAAATATAGTTCATGTGATACAAAAGAGTTCGTTAATATGTTCATTATGATTGAAAAGCTAAGATTAGACATCTTGATCTTCATGTGATACAAAAGAGTTCGTTAATATGTTCATTATGATTGAAAAGCTAAGATTAGACATCTTGATCATCAAAATTAACCACAAATCCATAATCTAAGAATCGAAACTATCGTAATAGTATGACCAATATGTATTCGGATATCTCGGATACAGATACGGATATTTCACTACAAAACCATATCCTATCGGTTATAGATTTGAGTAACCATATATGTATCCTAACGGATACGGCTACAGATATTTCCTCGGATACGGATACGTTTAGCACCCCTACCTCTCTTTCATGATCGATTTTAGGGGTGTTAAGTGTTAATAAAGTAGAAAAGGTGATTAGTGTTACCGAAACATGATTCCTACTCTAGACACTTCATTTATATAATCTTTTTAAATTGACAGGTTAAAGATGAAAATACGGTTAAATCCTCAAATTATTAATTTTAGATACACCTTCTCCGCTAGGAGGTAGTATTTCGATCATTGTTTTATTTACTAGCACTTAGAACACTATGAATCCCATATGATATCACTCCCGTTTGGTTTATATGTTATCCGAGAATAATGCGACGATACAATATTTTTCGCCCTCAATTTTACTTGAATTTTTTTAAAAATTTCCCTTTAAATATAGGGTAAAAGAGTATGTTGTCTGAGTCTTAGAAAGTGTAAATGCTAACAGAAAAAAGTATATGAATATATGTGACTATCTTTTCTTTCCCCCGAATCTGTTGATAATTTCTCATCTACTGCTTGCTCCAAAGAACTATTGGATCATATTTCTTTATTATCAGAGCCCAATTTCATAGGCTACGTCTAGGGGTGTCCAAAAAGCCCGGAGCCCGGGCCCGGCCGGGTCGTGCCCAGACCCGGAAACCCGGGCAAAACCCGGGCCCGGGCCCGGAAACCCGGGCAAAACCCGGGTCCGGGCCCGGGCCCGGGTCGCCGTGGGGGAGCCACGTCCGGGCCCGGCCCGGGCCCGGAACAGTGCCCAAAAATGGGCACTGGGCTTCGAATGGCCGGCCCGGCCCGGCCAAAACGGTCACAGACGTGACCGTTGCCCGGTCCGGGCCGGGCTGGCCCGGCCCGGCCCGGGCCAAATCTGGCCTAACGGCCAGATTTGACCTTTTGCCCGTTTTGCCCCTTAAAACGGTCAAAAAACGGCTATTTTTCTAGGGTTTTTTGGTCATTTACCTAGGGGGCTGCTTCTATAAATAGATGGGGGTTTCAATTCATTTTCTCACAACAAAACTCATCTATTTCTCTCTCTACTACTCTCTTATACAATCTTATACTATCTCATTATACTATCCTATAATCTTTTGTTTTTTCTAATTCTTCCAACAAATGGCTTCTGGGTCTGATTATGAAGAGCAACATGCAACTCCTACCGATCCAGAGATGAGTCCTCCTACAACAACTCCTCCTCATCCTACCGGTGTTAATCCTGAATCTGGTGGCGACGAATCTACGGCACCAAGAGCTCCAAAAAGGCCGAGGTCTGATGTATGGAATTTTTTTGAGAAGATAGACGTCACCAAGGATGAACACGGTAGGATCATCTCTCAGAATGCGAAATGTGCGTTGTGCGGCCAGATATTCAAAGCTCATCATAAGAGCGGCACCAACCATCTCAAACGGCATATTGAAAAACACAACAAAGGCCAAAATCTACAAGGTGATATCCGGCAGTCTATGCTTTCCCAATCATCCTCTTCAGGTACCCTCGGCAGTTGGAATTATGACGCTGCCCGAGCCCGGAAATGCGTAATCAGGTTTATTGTTCTTAAAAACCTTCCTTTTAAATTAGTAGAAGATGATGAATTTGAAGATTTATTTAGAGATGGTTTTTATCCTGCATTTACAAAATTTTCTCGTCAAACCTGTCAACGTGATATTTTAAAATATTATGTTGAGGAACAGGGAAAAATAATTTCTTATTTTAAAAATTTAAACTGCAAATTTTCTTTAACTTCTGATATTTGGTCATCTAGAGTGCAAACTGGTTATTTATGTATAACAGCACACTGGATTGATGAAAGTTGGAAAATGTTTAAAAGAGTTGTTTCTTTTATTGCAATTGAAGAGTCACACACTGGTATTAATGTTGCAAATTTAATTGTTGAAGAACTTATGAAACTAGAAATTGATCAAAGAATATTTACTCTTTCACTAGATAATGCAAGTAATAATAATGTAGCTGTTGATTTTCTGAAAATAACTTTGTCATTGCCATGTCATGGTGAGCTTTTTCATGTTAGATGTATCTGTCATATTTTAAATTTAATTGTTCAAAGTGCATTTTCTGAAATTAAACCCATGATAGAAAAAGTTAGAACAGTTACTAATATGCATAATGCTTCTGAAATGAGAATTAAAAGATGGAAACAATGTTGTAAAAGAAAAAATTATAAGCCTAGACTAATTCCAAAAGATGTTGACCATAGGTGGAATTCCACCTATGCAATGTTATCTGTAGCAATAGAATATAAAGAAATTATAAATGATTTTATAAATTTTTATGCTTCTAGTTCTAGCTCTGGTAGTGCTTATGGAATAACTGAAGATGAATGGACAGTTATATGTAAATTAAATGAGATGTTACAAGTTTTTTATGATGCTACTATGTTATTATCTGGTTGTTATTATCCAACTATTACTTTAGCTGCTTTACAAATTTTAAATATTCAAAAATTTTTTGCAAAATATCGTATGGATGATACTTTTGGAAATATAATTTTTCAAATGGAGAGTAAATTTAATAAGTATTTTAGGCCTATTCCTCATATTTTTGGTATTGGTGTTCTTATTGATCCATGCTTGAAGGAAATTGGCCTTCGAAGTTTGTTACAATCATTATATGGTGGACAGATTATAGACTTAGATGATGGATCCACCCTTACTGCTACTACTCATTATGTAGCTATTAGAAATTATTTTCAAACCTTATATGATGAGTATGCAGCTAGATATGGTGTAGCTACACAACAGTCTTCAGCTTCGGCACCTTCAGCTTCGAGCACAGGTCGAGGTAAAAGTGTAAGTTTTGATAGGTATGCAATGGTAGCTGAACTAACTGGTGGATCTGGAACTTCATCAGGATTAGAGGTTTCTGAAATAGACGAATATTTATCTGCTTCCTTAGTTAAATGTCAAGGAAATGCTTTAGATATTTTGCAATGGTGGAAAGTATATGGATCAGTTTCATATCCTATACTTTCCACCATGGTTCGTGACTTACTATCAGTGCAGGTTTCGACTGTAGCCTCGGAATCCGCTTTCAGCACAGCAGGACGTTTGATCGACGACCACAGGACATGCTTAGATCCGTATACTGTACAAGCGGTGATGTGCTTACAGGATTGGTGGAGATACGAGAAGCGAACACAAGGCATCGAACGGATTGCTATGATTGAAGATAAATTTGAAGAGTTGGGACTAGCAGATAGATATAATGATTAGATAATATTCATAAAATTGTAATTTTTATTTCTTAGCTTTAAATTTGAATTAAATTATTTCGAAAAAAGTTGCAAATGATAGTGATATGGGTGAGTAGGTGCCAACCTAGTTGGGATGTACTCATCTATTGTGATGCGACGAATTTCGAAATAAATTTATACTTGTAAAGGATTTACCGATTATTAATAAAGAAGTTATTTTTATCATTTTTTGTACTTGTAATTTATGTCATTTCATTTCAAGTTATTAATAAAATTTATGACACTACGTCTAATTAATGTGTGAGATCTGACTAAAATTCAACTTGATCTCCTATATATCTGCCAAAAGACTAGCCTCAACATAAGTAGAGTTAACTCAAAATATATATATATATATATATAAGTGGACATGTTACCTTATTTGCATTAAGAAACGACATGTACTCGAAGTATAATTATAATTATACTATTATAATGGCTACAAGTAACAAGTTGACATGTCTACTTGTACAAACTTAATCCTAATGCATTTTGACTGTCAGACTCAATCCTATATATCAACGGCTATGTATCTAGTGTTTAGTATGTGCACATCAATTTTATGCAAGTCTCCCTTCCTATGGAAACAACAAGCCTATATCTCCCTCTAATCCTTCATATTCTCCTAATATTTATTATCATAAGATTTATTGCCCAACTATTCACTCAATGGTTTCCGATTTTTGCAAGTACCCATTTCTCATGGTTGCCAGAATCCTCATTTTGTGATATAGGACTCACTGTATCATCTCAATGTACAAGGGAGGTTGAGGGAGTAGAGCGTGTATTTTGTCTTTGTGGAGAATTGGAATGCAAGCATATATTTCATAGATCTTGCTTAGATAAGTGGCTTGACTTTGGATGGGCTAGTTGCCCTCTCTGCAGGGATTGCTTGTTGTCATTTGAAGAGAAGATGAAAGCTGCGG